CATCGACTTTCCAAGTCAATTATTATTATTAAAAACAACATAATAAACCAATTCGCTTGGGTGCGTAATAAGTTGAAAAGTTGTAAAATCCAGAAGAATAGGAATTTAATTTCTTTCTTTAATGGGTTCACATCCTTTATTTACAAGCCAATGGCCCTTAAACATGCTATATAAAGGCCATCTCACAGACCAACAATTCTCATTGTTTCTTTATTTACCTCCAATCATTTTCAGGAACTGTCCTTTTTTTTTTTTTTTGAATAATGCAGGAACTGTCCTTGACTGCAAATTTTCAGCAGGCGTGAAAATTTTAGCCTTTTCATTTCATTGCTTGTTTTGTATATTATCGATATGTTTATTTATTAGAAACTAATTTTCACCAACCCTTCTTGTGTATGCCAAATTCAAAATGTTTGATGCGTTTACCATAAATGGGTGACGGATAGATTTGAAAAAAAAAGTTGTGTTTCTTGTTTTGATACAATGTTGAATGAGCTCGTCCAGAAAAGGAAACAATTCCTAGTTTAAGGGATAAGAGTGAGTTAAAGCCTTATTTTGTTTTGTTTAATATTTGGATACTTGAAAGTTGAAAAATGTTTGATAAACAGAATTAAGATTGGACATAATGAAAGAAGGGAAAAGTGCAATAAATTTGTCATCTTCTCGAGTCATGACGTTTGGCAGACCAAACCCGTCATTCATCTTTTCACTTACATCTATTAATAACGTCTAAATATTTTGGTCTAGCACACAAATATCCTTGAGTTAGATAGAATATTGTTCCAAACGAATCAATATACCTAATTTTGTACAATTATTGAATGTTTGATCCTTTTAAGATATTAGTTAGACAACTAATGTAAGGATGAGACGATGACTAGCGACAATTAAGAACAATGCTACTGTTACAGAAAAAAATTATGTAAAATCAACATAACACACACATGAGGGGTGAGCCCCATTTTTATAATAATATTTTATTCACATGGGGCCTTCTGGTGTTTTTACAAATGAAATAGTTCTTCACAAGTGGTTTAATTGGACAATTAAAAGTCGAGGGAGAGAACAAGAAAATGACACACGTCAAGAAATAATCAAAGGACTAGAAATTGCGCCACTTTCTCCCTCTTGTGCCCTTTGATCAAAGATAAACTTGAAGAGCAAAGAAAATACCAATCCCAAAAGACTACCAGCAAAAGCTCCGGCTAGAAATCCGACTACCCAACCGAGTACTTTCCTCACTTCCCTCTTCTTCTTATGCTTATGTCGCGTCGTTGCCATGGGGGACGGAGCTTCAGCTTGGCTGCCATTAAGGCCTTTACTCGAAGAAGTGGCCATTGCCCTTGCAGATGTGTGGTTTCTCTCTATCGATTTTTCAGCCAAAATATAACGATTTGGAATAGTTTCCGACGATAAATGCTCCAATTGATTCATTACAGGCAATGGACCTTCGAGTAAAGTGTTGCCGGAGATGTTGATTGATCGAAGATTCCGAAAAGACCTCAACGATAAAGGGAGTTTTCCGACGAACATATTATCTGCGAGGACAAGTTTTTCCAGGTTCGGAGAGTTCTTCAAGAATTTTAAGTTCTCGGAAAATTTATTCGACGAAATATCAAGAACACGAAGGCGAATTAACGAAGAAATTCCCTCCGGAACTTTGCCAGAAAATTGGTTCTTCCTAATGTTCAGGATCTCAAGTCTCTGGCAATGCAAAATTTCAGTTGGGATTTTGCTTGAAAGTTTGTTGTTTTCAAGGGAGAGTTCTTTAGGCTCGGAGAGTTCTTTAAGCTCAGAGAGTTTTCCGATGGCGGAGAAATTTTTCCGTTCAAGTTTTGGGATTCAAACACTAGACGGGTGACTTTGAGTACATATGAATTGTTTGTGAATCTCCATTCACAGAATATCCTGGCGGAGTTACATTGACTCCAGCGTTGACCATGGATGCCCAAGTCCTTTTGGATATGCAAAAGGGCTTCAAAGTCAGAAAGATCAAGACTCAGTTTTGATTGAACAAGAAGGATTAGAGTGAAGAAGAATAAGAGAAATAAGAGGTGGGATTTTGAAGGAATGGAAGTGGAAGCCATTCAAGGCGGTGATGGTGGTGGCGGTGGCGGGTGGACGTGAAAGGAGCATAGGCACGGTGGTGCTTGGTGGTGGCTGGAGTTTCAAATGGTTGGTGGTGATTTTATATAGAGGAAATTAGTTGAGATAGACTTATCAGACATAAATATTGTGAAAATAGACCCCCAAAAATAATTCTTTGGAAAATAAATAGTTTTTCCAAAAATACATTCTTTCATAGAATTTGCAACCAAAGACACTTTTAATCAAGTCCCCAAGAATTTATGAACCCAGAATCTTTGATAGATTTAACTTCGAGATTGTCCAAGATTTTATGGATCTAAGAACTACAACATATAGTTTATTAAATTACCAAAGAGAAGATCTAAAAAGATTCTTTACAGAATATTTAGATCCAAAATTAAAATATAAAGATGCTTACATAGATAATCAAGCAATTAAAATTGAAAAAGATATACAAAAAAAATTTCCATTTAGAAAGAAGAATTGGCGAACTAGATATAATCATTGAAGAAAAAACTTTAACAAAAGATAGTCAATTTTATGCATTTTATTGTGATCTTTTTAAATGTCTACAAAGATACTAAATGAATCGAAAGTCTAAAAAATTCCGTTGTGCACTCTCGATGCAAATGATATCAGAGCCATGTTACGAACCTAAGATAATGATGAATATAATTGACAACAAATACGTATTGAAGAATTTTTGAAAAAAGTTAAAAAACAAAAGAAACCTAGTTATCCTTATTTACCTAAAAATAATACAAATGAAAATTTTAAGGATATCCACAAAATATTGGAAAATCTAAAATATAATATAAAAATAGGAAATACTCTTTTAGATAAAAATGTTAAAGGAAAAGGTACGATTATAACCTCAAAATTTCAGAATAACACAGACAGATAAAGATCATGAAATAAAACAATATATGATTACAGAGGTTGAAAAATTAGAACAAAAAATTTTAGAATCCACTGGTAAAGAGTATAATGAATATAAAAAACAGTTAGAAGAGTTAACTGAAAAAATGGAAAATACAAAGANTTAACTGTTTGAAGTTATTATCTATTGATGCTATGTAATGTTTATAGGTACTTGGAGCAAATGAAAAATAATCTGTGATGTTTCTCTTGGCTGCACTAAATCGAATTGTTGAAAGTAAAGTGCAGATTGTTGAGTTTCGAACCTGTGACTTGCCTATTAAAATGTGCTTCCAACAATTATGTTGAAGTCATGTTTCTGGAATTGACACTTATATTAATTCAAGTCATTGGCTGGATGGTTGACACTTGGATTTCTTCTCACCGTTGGATATGGTTCTAGATGGTTCTGATTATATCTTCCACGAGATGTCTTGTGATTTTCATTCAGTTCACTCTTCTGGCTTTTTGGTTCTCGCATCTGTTCTCTTCCTGTCGAGAGAAAACCTCATTCTTGCCTAGGGTTTACGTTCGTGAGTGTTTGAATCGTGCAAACTGTATAATCTCTTACACCTACTTCTAATTGTTGTGAAGTAAGGGTTCTTTGAGTGATTTGTACACTGAATCTTTTGTGATTCAAGTGGATTGTGAGGTGTTTGGTAGAACTTTGTGATCTGTCCTATTTTGTGCCATAAGGGTGTGTTCGATCAAAAGCCTTGTGTAAAGATAAGTCTCTGTGGGTTTCTCTTGTATTCTTGAACTGTTTGTAATTGTTGGTTGCCATACTTTTGGCTATTTAGTGCAACCGAGCAATTTCCATTGTTTGGATGCTCAACGGGAGGTGTAGGCCTTAGATCTAGTCGCTGAACCTCCGGGACTTAGGCCGAAATATATCTTGTATTCAATCCTTTTAATTTCCGCAACTTTACTTTCTATTTGTAATTGATTCCTTTGGATCTTGTTTTAATATCGTGTGGTTTAGGCCTTTTCAGTTGTGCGGTTCAGGTCCATAAATCTGGAGTGTTCCATCCATGTCCACTTCGTGGTGGAATCAAGTGGAGCTAGCTCCCAAGGATCCGATCCTTGGAGTCACCGAAGCTTATCTTCCTGATCCTAGTCTAGACAAAGTCAATGTTGGAGTTGTGAGTATAAGAGATTTTTCATTTTCGCTAGCAAGTGGTAGATCATAAGTGATTTCCACTTTGTTCATTGGATTTGGAAGTTATTTGAGTTAATTAATTAATTTTGTTTTGCAAGCTCATATTTTGGAATTTTTTGTCTATTAACAGTATAACTTTAAATCTGAGTTCTAAATTATGTAAATTCATTTTCTTTTGTGTAAAAAGGTTGCATATCGTGATGATAATGTAGAGCCGGTGGTACTGGAGTGCGTCAGGGAAGCTGTCAGAGTAGTTTGAACATGTGAGTATTCTTTTGCTTACTAATTTTTTACCTCGAAGAATGAAATAAATAAATATTTTATATATGATGGCCTAGGAGAAAGAAATAGAACAAAAGAAGTAGAACTTGAAAATCAAGAATTTTTTTGAATAAAATGTATTAATTTTATTGAAAGATATAAAGTTGAAAATGCAAGATTTTAAACTAGTCGATTGCCCGTGCAATGCANCATCGACTTTCCAAGTCAATTATTAATATTAAAAACAACATAATAAACCAATTCGCTTGGGTGCGTAATAAGTTGAAAAGTTGTAAAATCCAGAAGAATAGGAATTTAATTTCTTTCTTGAATGAGCTCGTCCAGAAAAGGAAACAATTCCTAGTTTAAGGGATAAGAGTGAGTTAAAGCCTTATTTTGTTTCTTTTAATATTTGGATGCTTGAAAGTTGAAAAATGTTTGATAAATAGAATTAAGATTGGACATAATGAAAGAAGGGAAAAGTGCAATAAATTTGTCATCTTCTCGAGTCATGACGTTTGGCAAACCAAACCCGTCGTTCATCTTTTCACTTACATCTATTAATAACGCCTAAATATTTTGGTCTAGCACACAAATATCCTTGAGTTAGATAGAATATTGTTCCAAACGAATCAATATACCTAATTTTGTACAATTATTGAATGTTTGATCCTTTTAAGATACTAGTCGATTGCCCGTGCAAT